GGGTCATTGGATATTTAGAATAAATCTTTTAATCAAAATCGCTTCATAAATTAATTTTCATGCATTCCCAAAGACCTTAAACAAAAATAAAAGAGCACCTCCATCCTATAAACATTTTTAATTTAAACTTCACTTCATTGAAACGAATGTTTACGATAAAATGGTAAGGGTTATCAAATTAGTTTAACAGGCCGTTTTTAGCTAATTCTCGACACTTCCCAAAATGTTTATTCAAGTTTAAACGCAGCTCTCTCGATGAGTATTGTACAAAATTGCACAGGGCGTATATCAAAATTTAAGTTAGACAATACTGAATGCAATATGCACATAGTTTAGGTGTAATAGCTCTTTTAGTTTTTAAGTTAAAATAAATCAAACAGGTTAACTTTTTTTTGCGCGACCCGGTACATCTGTCTTGACGGTTTATAAACACTATACATTCTAAATTTTCGGTTTTGTTTACATAACGATGTGTTTTTGGATACACTATGCTTGGGATAAATGGTGTGTGTACTTACATTTGTGGATGCACTGCCTTGTGTAAGCGGAATGGTGTTTATTCTCTGGATTCTGCTTAATTCATGGTGTCTAAGAAACATAATAATGCAATAAATTAAGCAGGCTGCTGGAAGTTTCTTTTCAGGGTAGCAATCGGTCTGAAGAAGGTTGTGACAATACATGACACTACTGGACATCGAGTTGACAGTTCGTTATTAACTTCCATCATCCAGTTGTCTTGTGACATCCCCTTGTACGACCTTTCTCAAAGGACTGATGGGTCATTTCGTCGAGCAATTTCAAACAACTCTTGTTTAGCCATTTCCAAAACTGTTTTAAATGGAGAGGTATGGTAGGCTTGGAGGGATCATCCACATCATCATTGGACTGTGAAGCGTCATCCTAAAAACATGATTGCAACATATAGTTAACACAATAGATAGCTATTAAATGTAACTTTTTTATTATAGAAACAGAAAATGTAACAACTACAACTTTTATTATATCATGACACAGTAATTAAATACAGTAACGCCTCTATAACCAGGAATTCAATTTGAAATGGCTCAAAAACACACATGTTTTATATAAATAGTTTCATTATCTGTATGTTGGCTTTAAAATTTACAATATAAATACCTTCATGTTATTTATATTATTAGAACAAGCTTTTTTAAATAATAAAAATATTTGATACTTATAAGTAATGAATTGTCTACACATATTTTGTTAGCCAAGCAGCAACATATCTGAACATTATAAAAGTTTATTTTACATAAACTCTCGAACGGTCTGTGCCAGTGTAGGTGACAAAAACACCAGAGAAATAGGGATGCAACTTCCTGAAAAATACAAGGAAAACTTAGACGTTTCGAATGAAGGCTCTTCGTCGGGGAAGTTTATACAGGGTGTCCCAAAAAAAAGTGACACTATAGAAATTATCCTATTGTTATAATTTGAATGCCCTAGCACTAAGTTGATCCCACAGGTACATAAACTTCTGCTTCTGGAATTTAAAATAAGAAAGCAAACCGTTTATTAGTGTAATCGTTTTGCTTGACTCGGGCGTTAAAATATTTGGACAAAGCAAAAACGTTTTAAAATGCTTAAATGTAAATACAAGTTCATTAAATTTCCAGGCGTGTAATCACGCGCGTTTAAGAGCGGCTTAAGAACAATGAGATAATTTCTATAGTGTCACTTTTTTTTGGGACACCCTGTAGTAGCCGCTATTATTATAAAACGTCAAAGTTTTACATGTATTTTATTTTACATATGACATATACACTTATAATTATATGCATAACACATTTTCGAAACACGGCAAATGACACTGAGATATGAATATTTATGACTTACATCGGAAGAAAACAATGAAGTGAAGTCCAGGTTTCTTCTACGATTAGATGACAACAAAGAACCATCAGTACTTGTGCAAGCTCTGCTTGTTGATGGCTGTTTTATGGATGGCGATATTTCTAGGCAGTGTTTTGATCGGGACACGCTCTCCAACGACTTTTGTGTTTCTTCTACGAGCTTTTTAAATTTCATTGCATTTTTAAGCCTTCTCTCACACGGACAACATATGAGATGAGGAAGCAGCGCATTGTCTCGAGGAAAAACACTTACATAAATAACTTGCACATTATTTAAAATGTCACGGTTTGTATGACCGAACAAATCCTAGCTGTGTCTTCTGTCAACAACAGCCTTGCACAACTGACAACAAGAACTTGTTTCTTTCAAAGAGCTTCGAGAATAAAATTTCTTTGGGGTGTCCTTTCTTGTAGCCATCGACCGAAGAACACAGAGCGGAATGGCCGGACACCTGGCCACAATTGTAATCTGATACTCTCCATAAAAACAATATGCCATTGGGAACTGTTTTCTGGAGTATCAACTTTAACAATGCTCTCAAATTGAATGAAATTGTTTTTCGAAATTCCTGATTGCAAATCAATATAAAATTATATACAATATTTACTTCACTCCTCTACCACCCTTCCCTAAGTACAATTTCAATTTAGCACCCAGAATCTGGGAGCCATGTGACCAGCTCCAACCAGCGTCTTTCCTTCCCCGAAGAAAGAGCCTGGGAATGAGGTTGCATCAATATCAGCACACGATCATGGAAGGGTCCCAACCACCTGATGACACTCCAGAATGTTGGCAATTGAACAATACAGCATATATGACAAAGGTTGCAAATCTAATAAAGTACAATTTCTACAAGAATCTCCAGAAGGGCCATGTTCATGGCTTTGCTGAACGTTGGCAGCAGATGAAATTAAAACAAGATTTCCATGAAATGAAATTGCATTTTGGACAAAACCGGATACCAAAACCAACACATGCATGCTGGCAACTGGTGCATTTTGGATGAAAGCGGATCTCAAAATCAACACATGCATGCTAGCAACTGGCTGGAACCGAGAAGTGTTCAACCTTGACTTGTTTGTTGAACAAGATCCAAACATTGTTCGGCCTGAAACGACTGAGGAAATCTTTCAACATGTCAATTCTAACAAGTCGCTGTCCTGTAGTCGAAGCATTGAGAACAAAATCAAATCCTGATGAAGAATGAATACATGATGCCCCTCAACTTTCTTTCAAAACATTTTGGACAACTATTAAAAAAATGGTGGCATTGAAGGATTAGTGACAAAAGTCATAATTATTATATATTGGCGATACATTAGAACACTTCTGAAGCATTAGTGACAGAAGTAATTATTATACTTCATGATAGGCTAGTTGAGTGATACACTGATAACTTACATAATACCATGATCCCCTCGATTTTCATTGTTCTGGAAAGGAATGTAAATGAATGGAATTACTGATTGAACTTCGGCAAAGTGTTACCCAACTTCTACGCGATTTAAGGTCTCGATGTCTAATTCAGTTATCCAATTTGATCTCATGGCCTTTGCTAAGCACTTTCGCACTCTCTTTACATAAGCCTCCATAACAGCAAAGTTTTGAAGCACTGATACAGGCGGACAATTGAATTTACAAAAGTCCAGCAAATCTGATATGCTTGCAATGTACGCTATCCATCCCGATTGTCCAATACCCCATTTATCCTTCAGACAGTCCACAAATTTTGTGAAGAATTATGAGATTCCAACAAGTAGATCAAATTCGAACTTAACACGTCTTGTTTGGCGTTGCCACCCTCATCACAGCAAAACTTGACAAATTTTAAAGCTCTCATGACTGAAATGTCGGATTGTTTATGAGATTTCCCCCACCCACCTCGAAATGTCTCCCCCTCCTACCCCCAAATTCAATGTTGGTAAATGAAACTTTTAAAATTTTTAGTAGGAAACATTGAACAGGGAGCAGGGGGTGACAAATTTCATGAAAGAACATCTCAATGTTAATATTAGCATTAGAAAAGTTAGGTGTCCACATAATTTTTACCAGGATTGTCTGAAAATAACCTGAAAAAATATCGATAATTTTCACCCAAAGCAGGCCTTTTACTATAAATTTTTGATGTTGCTATTGTTTTAGAATAACAAGCAGATTGTTTAACCTGGTTTAATTGTTTTTTAAAGCATATTTATAATTTTGTGAATGAGCAGCTTTGGCCATGATATATACTTTGCTGAACTAATTATGCAAACACAGTAAGACAAGTTTTCAACAAAAGTACTTCAAGTGCAGAACCAAAATCTCACTAAATATAACAGACTATAGAGTTATTTTAGTGTATACGCATCTGAAGTGCTCACTATTTTCAGATTTTTTATAACAAACACAGCCCAGCATCAACTGTAGAGTGCCTTTAATCTAACAGTGACGTCACACGTTACACACTTATGCACTGCATAGTTAAAGAATACACAGCTTAAATATTTTTATCACTATGCTACACAGCTGTGTGCCATATCAGTTTACTAAACTTCCACAATAACATCACTTACACATTTATACAGTTTTATACAGTTATATTGTATGAAAAGACGGGAGTATGATTTTTCATGCGGCAAACCCATTGCAAAATGTTGCAGGCTGACAAAGGATCTGCATATTGAAATGCATGTGTTACCAATAATGCAAATGATTCACGCTCAGGAACTAAAGATAGATCTGCTTGGCTGTAAGTTAAGAGGTAAACAAATTTCCCATTTTTTGGCTGAACATTTTGTATTGTTTGACTAAGTACTAAGACATCGTTGTTCTCCACAATGTTCAATAATTTGTTATACAAAAATGTTGCTTTGTAATTGCAGACTAAGTTGTAATTTCAGGTACATTAATGCCTGGGTCTCAGTTTGTGTATTTAGCGAAAATAGACAAAAAATCATAAAAAAATAAATATGGCCTTCATTATTACCATTCAAGTTTTATATGATTTATCAAAGGAGATTCTAAAAGTTGACCTACTTTTCATTGTCATGGCAAAGATCACGTGATGTATATTTCGAAAAACAACACAAAAAAATGATACGTTTTATTCAGAGGCTCTGCAGCAGTATAATTTGTGACTGAGAGGACGCAGAATTGCGATAATCATTCACACATAATATCACTGTTTATTGAATAAATCCGGAAAGTTTACATTTAGGCTTCGTTGACGTGCATTCAAGTACATATCCCTGAAACTGTTGAATTTTTCTGTTACTCAAGGGAATCACACTGTTCGAACATTGTTGCTGGGTACTGCTGATTTGAAGGCTCATCAGCAAATTATTTTGTATGCAGGAGGTATATATGAAATTTATATTATTAGCAAATAGTGTTGTAAAATACAATGTTTGAAATTCAGGCGATCCTGGGTGCGGTGTGCGACCCAACAGGAAAATATTTTATGTTGGTGACACTACAACATGTGTCATGATGTAATATTTGTCACTTGGGTGGCTTCAATGATGCATGCACTCCAATTTTCAAAATTTCTGTGGTTAACCCATTTTCTACCAAGACTTACAGGTGTAAAAATTATGAGCCTGTTGTTTAAAATGATTGAAAAATGTTATATGCTGCCTACATTGTTCACACTTGTCAACAATATTGTTGAGCCTGAATTGGGTGTACCAATATCAACAATGTGAACAATGTGGGCAGCACAACATTGTTCAATCCTGTTTACATCAATATTGCAACAACTTGATTGTTTGTAACTGTGTACATGAAGTGTGATTATGATCCAAATGAACAAAAAAATGAACGATACAACTACTGGCAGAATTACATGTAATCGTGTCCAATGGCACTGCAATTTTCTATGTCTAATATATATGGTCATACAGGAATTCCTGGTTAGCCTTTTCAATATCAAACACAGAACGTCTAAACTATGAATGTTTTCTTGCCATCTAGTCATTAGTTAACCTTGCAGATACTGATTATGATTTAGGAATATGAAATATACTCAAACTAATATTGTAGGCATTTAATCTATAGACTTGAATATAATAGTAAAATTTAAAATAATAGAAAATAACATTCAGTTTGTTTCTATTTGTTTTAGGTGGCAAGATTGGTTGCCGACATTGTTTGGTTAATGGCTTGTATATTCCATGCAAATGCCATTATTATTATGGCAAATGTATTGAACAGTCTACATCATTAAAGCTACTTGGTGTGGATGACCAACTTAATTTTAGATGTCATATTAGCGAAATATGCCAAAAAAACAAGCAGCAATGCAATCTCGTTCCCAGGGTCTCTCCTTCTGTCATCTGGGGGAGACCCTGGCTGCGGCTGGTCACGTGCCTCCCAGATTCTGGGAGGTAAATTTAATTGTAAATGTGAGAGGGGTGGGAAAGGAGCGTGTTTGTGGCGTTTTAAAATTGCAACTTTGGGTGATGAAATTTACTGTAAATTTGCAACAAGAAATCGTAAAGAGAACTCTTAAATTAATATCTACATTGTGACGCTCTACTCTATAATCTGGTGTCGAGTTACAATTCAAGCAAGTTGGGTCAGATTTCAATATTCAACTATAAGACTTGCCAAAGAAAGCATGCTTGCCGCTTGTGCAGCGTGGCGATATTAAACCTACAAGAAAATATAGATCTCTAGACCAAACAGTGTGGTTGTTATTTATTTAGTATTAATGTCTATCCTGATACTCGGACCAAAAGAACTTATTTATTGATGAGATGTGAAATTGCAACGAAATAGCGAGATCTTTTGATTTCCGAAATAACGCCAACTGTATCCAGATTGTTGATCTGTATAAAGGCCTTATCAAAAAAATTTAAATCCCATCAAAACACTATAAAATTGGCCCTTGGCATTGCTGAAACCAACGATCATGGTATATGTCAAAGTATAGCTGTCTGTTGAAAATCTACGGTATTAAAATCATACACCAAAGATAAGTCAAACGACAAATTATATGTATCGGACATCCTCCGATTTTTTAAAGCAATACATATAGCCAAACTCACATCTTTGTAAAACGAGGTTTTCTATTAATAAATATAAACATACATTACAAATACTATTTACATTACGGTGTACAAATAGATGAACAAATACTATGACAAACACAAATGTCAAGTTAAAATACACATACCGACTATATGGTCTCT